ACATAGAAACGTTTGCGAGCAAAATGTAAGCGATGCTATTAAATCCCTCTTCAAGTATATATTTCCGCAATTTTTCATCAACGTTCCCCTTTCTGCTCTGTGAACCCCCGGAGCTTTTATCTACCCCTATATACACTTCCGTCATCCGAAAAATGTCTCCGAGATACGACGATCCCGTTAATGATGCGTCCATTAGTGGTAATAAAATGTAATGGTGGAGGAAAAATGTGGGAATAGCAGGTATGCCGACATCCTCCGCGCACCTTAGCAGCGATGGGGGATGTTGCCACAATTCCAGTTGTTTGTAGGCTAGGCTCAAAGACAATACTAAAGAATCAGGGACATGTTTAGAATTGTCAGGAATTCTATGGGTAAAATAGAAATTGACAGCCTGTCCAGGAAGGTACCTCTTTAAAGTAATATATAGTAGACCATTAGTATTAGAGATAAAATATGATGTTGAGTACTCGTATGTAAATCGACCAAGTACCTCTCATGGTACAAATTGGGAAGTTCTTAATGTGTTTTTTGAACACACCACAGTTTTTTCGATCACTCCCTTAACTGACCAGAAACGCGGAAAACGGCGAAACAGTCGACGATCATTTGGCGTTCAAAATCGGGAGTGTTTGGAAAGTTTTGGAGAAGTTTGATAATGACGATGCCCGTGTTGATTCGGATGTTTTTTTATTCGAAAAATTATAATACCTTTATGAATCATTTGAAGATAAAATTAGTTATATACTCGTATGATAAATTAGAGACTTTTTCCTATAATCAATAATTTTTTTTACCATATTTTGTATGATTGACAGATTCGGATTACGAGAACAACAAAATCTACTTTAATACGATTGTAAGGAAAACCGTCCATGGATCTAATGGTTTGGTAATTTCAACAGGACGATTTTGTTCACAGATCCATGCTTTTATTAGATCGCAATGTGCTTCGGTGGCGTCGGGTGGGGCTCGGAGGACAGGTTAGACCAAAAAAATCATATTTGAGGCTTCCTTGCCAACTTAAAGTTTTGAAAAATGGACGTGACACTTTCTTTTTATTTTCACATGGAAGTCATTTTTGCCCCTAAAAACCAGCAACTAGCTTTTTCTTGCTTTTCTGAGGGAACATTCGTAGTTCTATATTTTCAACCTGTTCAGTGAAAGCAATAAAAATTTTATGAATCTCTTTAGACCTCACGATTTGGTGTATTCAAAAAAGTAGCACAAAAAACATAAAGAGCTTGAAAACAGCTTATGTGCTTCTCTGGTTTTCAGAGGCAAAGCAACGATTCCTTCCAAATATTTTGTGACTCACTACAAAATAAACATTATGTAGGGCTATATCCCATACAATAAACTGACTATTAAACCATTAAAAACGTGTGTTTAAAATGATTGAGGCCGGATTGAAATAATTATTCATAAAATTGTTCACACATATCGATATTCAATTGCTTAGCGAAAAAAAAAACATAAAAGCTCGGTCCATAGCTAAAATCAATGGATCTAGAACCCCACACAGATACTTCATTACCCGAATACCAATACCCTTCAGTTCCAAAGCATCTCAATTCCATTACTTCAAAGATGCAAAGTACTTACTGTTTTGCCGATTTTGGGATATATAAATAGTCCATACTTTCAAAATATTTCTAGACTCTCCCGTACGGAGGCTACAGCTATGTCCGTCATGACGAAGTATACTAAGTGACATATAAATTCGAACACCCAGTTTAACTGGTTTTATTTTAATAAAAGTTGGTGAATGTATTTATCTTACTGTAAGTAACAAGTGAAAAAATTTTCAGCCTTATCAGTTGGACATTCCGGTTTTTATACTGCTTTTTTTTAATTCACTAAGGCTCTAAAAATGAATATTTCAGCCGCAGTAAAGAATCAACGTTGGCGGATTTTGGTTCTTGACATCCTTTACGATCGGTTACGATGCCTAGAGTACGGAGACCTGTACGATTTCGTCAACTTGGTGAGTTTGATAGGGGCCGTATAGTGGGACTTCGGGAAGCTGGACTTTCTTTTCGGGCAATTGCAGTTAGAGTGCAAAGAAGTGTAGACACTGTGGCTAGGTGTTGTCAGGCATGGCTTCGAGAAGGCCGTACGCAAAGAGTAACGGGCACTGGACGCCGCCGTAGAACAACAGACCGTGAAGATCGCCGCCTAAGATTATTGGCCTTAAGGGACCGTTTCTCCACTACCAGGTCCATTGCAAATGAATGGTTTGCAGAACACGGAAGACCTATTGGCATGCGAAGTGTTTACCAACGAATGAGATGTTTTGGCTTGTTTTCATACCGGCCACACTGGGTCCTCCCTTTAACTCGAGAACACCGACGTAATCGCCTTGAGTGGTGCAGACAACGGTCACTCTGGGATCAGGAATGGAACAGTATTGTCTTTAGTGACGAGTCTCGATTTTGTTTAGGCATGCACGATGGTCGTGCCAGGGTTAGAAGGCGACGTGGTGAAAGGAGGAATCCACAGTTTTTTGTTGAAAGACACGTTAATCACACTGTTGGAGTTATGGTTTGGGGTGCTATAGCTTATGGTTCCAGGTCACCTTTAATCTTCATCAGAGGTAACATGAACGCGCAGCGTTATATCCACGAAGTTATAGAACCTCATCTTTTACCCTATCTTGACACCCTGGCAGATCCAACTTTCCAAGATAACGCCCGACCACATGTTGCAAGAGTCACAATAGACTTCTTTCAACATAATGATGTCACATTGTTACCATGGCCACCAAGATCTCCCGACTTATCCCCAATTGAGCACGTGTGCGATATGATGGGTAGGAGATTGCTCAATTTGCAACGTCCTCCTCAGACTCTAGAAGCACTTCGAGAGGAGTTGGTGGTTGCCTGGAATGAGATACCACAGGAGGACATTGACCACCTGATCAGAAGCATGCCTAGGCGCGTTGGAGAATGCGTAGCACATCAGGGTGCATCCACACATTATTGACGGTCAAAGGACTTTAAAGCAGTGCAATCATTTTGAAATTTTTATCATTTACTTATTATGCTTCATTAAGTACTTATAGAAAATTTTATTAAAATAAAACCATTTAAACTGGGTTTTCGGATTTATATGTCACTTAGTATATTAGTTCACCCAGAAATTACCTGCCGGGATCCGTATTTTGTATCCTTCTACACTTCGAGGAAGGAGGAGGGGAGGCGCCGCTCTTGGATAGATGTTTGACTCACTTCGGAGTTAAAAAAACAGCTGAGCTATTCATCAGAACGTAACCTGAAACAAATTAACTCTTGAATATCCATTTTCACTTCCTTTTTACATCTGGTTTTCGCTCTTCCTCGCCTCTTTTTCCACCAGTATTGCGTATTAGTACTTTTTTTGTATTCTGGTCTCCGTCATCCTTTGGACATGTCCCAACCATCTCAATCTTTGAGCTTTCACTGTTCCTACTACATATATCAGATTTACCATAAAGAAATTGCAGTTCTTTGTTCGTTCTCCGCACTCATCTACCGCACTACCGCTTCCCACCGAATATCTTGCGTAAGATTTTTCTCTCCCAAATAGCGATTTTGTTCTGTTCTGCTTTATTTATAGTCCATACTTCATTGCCATAGATGATAATAGGTCTTATAATAGTTTTATACAATCTTAGTTTAGCCTTTCTGGACACGATTTTACTCTTTAGTAGTCGATTCAGTGAGTAAACACACCGGTTACCCATCATCAGCCTATTCTGAATTTCTTCCGCAATATCTGATCTTCTTTTGAAAACAGTCCCTAAATACGTGTATGTTTCTACCGCTTCAAATTGGTAAGTTTTTCCACTAACTACTTTTACTGTTAGCCTCTCATTTTTAAACTCTTCCTCTGTCCATTTCATATACTTAGGTTTTTCTTCGTTAATATCCAAACTCATTGACAGTGCTTTGTATTCCAGCCTCTTCGTCACCTTGCATAATTTCTCCTTACTTCTGGTTATGATCACTAAATCGTCAGCGAATGCTAAGCATTGGTGCTTGTTATGATAAAGTAATCCTTCTGTATTTATTTTCGCATCTCTTATATATATATATATATATTTTCAAGACATAGGCCGAACAGGACTGATGAAAGTGGGTCTCCTTGCCTGACTCTAACGACAAAAGAATCCGATAATTCGTTGTTGATTTTGACTTTATTTTCTGTCTTCTTCATTAATATCCTTATCAGTCTAATAAGTTTTTCTTCGATTCCCATTAATCTTAAAGCCTCGATCATTTTTTCCAATTTACCTTATCGTATGCTTGTTTGAAGTCAACGAATAATGCAAATGTCGGCTTCAAGTGCTCGTAGCTTTCTGCCTGTATTTCTCGTAGTACGAAGATTTGGTCTATTGTGCTTCTTCCGCGTCTAAATCCGGTCTGATATTCCCCTACGGTGCTTTCCATACTTTCTCTCAGTAGATTCTTCATGTGCGATGTTAATATTTTATAGACAATATTAACTAGTGCAATTCCTCTACAATTGTGACATTTGCTCTTATCTCAGTCCACCCTTCTGGTATTTCTTCAAATATCCAAATTTCTTCGATCAACTTTTCAACTTCTTAGAGTTTTTGTCCCCAGTATTTGAACATTTCGGCAGCGATGCTGTCAGCTTCTGGGCTTTTGTTATCTTTCAATCTACCTATTATTTCTCGTATTTCGGTTAATGTTGGTTCTTTGTCGTTGTCATCCATTGGAGTATTATCAAATCTCTCCCTTTCATTTTCTTCTCCGGTAACCTTTGTTTCTCCTGTGTTTAAGAGCTCGTTAAGGTAGTTTTTCCATAGTTCTAAAATCTGTTTTTCTTCTGCTACTATTCTGTCTTCGTTATCTTTATATATAATCGTCTTGGGTTGATATTCTTTCTTTTCCCGTTCAACATCCTGATAAAGGTTCCTTAACTCCTTGTTTTTGTAATTTTCTTCTATTTTATCATAGCGTCTTTATTTTGGTCCATCTCTCATTGACACCATCTACTTGGTTTTTACTGCCTTCTTCTTCTCTCTTTTTTGGTGCTTCACTAGAGGAATTCTTTGCTCTAGCTTTATTCCAAGTATATAATGATCTGAATCTATATCTGGCCCTCTGTAAGTTCTTATATTTTTTATGTCTTTTTCCTCGTACATCTCTACTAGTACATTATCGATTTCATTCACGACATTGCCGTCAGGTGATTTCCATGATATTCCTTTATATATTTCTTGATGAAAATCTGTGCTTTTTATTATCGTATTCCTCTTGCGAAATCGATAAGCATTTGCCCATTTATGCTGGTTTCCAAGTGTTTACTATATTTACCTATCGTCGGTCTATAAACTTCCTCTCTACCAATCTTTGCATTTGCATTTACCATTACAATTTTCAAATCATACTTAGGTATATTGTTATATACTCCACTTAATTCGGTATGAAAAATTTCCTTTATGTCCAAAACTTTATCTTCTGATGGTGCATGTATGTTAATAAACGTGATTTTTTGGTAACGTCCCTTCAATCTTAATTTACATAATCTATCCGTGTATGGGGTGAACTCCACTAATGCTGCTTTTAGTTTTTTTCTTCATCATGAATTCTGTTTCTAATAATCTATTTTTCTCAAGGCTATTCATGAAAACATAATCGTCCACCTCTATTATGTCCTGCCCTAATTGCTTTGTTTCTTGTAGAGCCACCAAATCGAAGTTATGGCTTTTCAGCTCATTTGCTAGTTGTTTTAGTTTTCCGGCTTCGAACGAACCTTGTATATTTCCAAATATCTATTTGCCAATGTCTTGATTTTCCCTGTTTTGTTTTTATCTACTTGGTTATATTTTATTTTGCGTGCCTTTTCCATCTTATTGAGCCTTTCCTCTTCAGATTTCCTTAGTTTTTTGTCTCTAGTGTTGCTCTAGCTATGTGCCATCTCCACTCCTGTCTGTCTATTGTAATCTTTTTAAAACCTACTTTTACCTCTTTCCCTTTAGCCTTTTCTTCTTGTGCCCTAGCTCTTATTGATTTGCTCATTTCCATCTCTGACCCTGTGAGATCAATTTATGAAGATTTGCTCTCCGCCACGTCGCTTCAGTTTATATTTTTGTCCTGCATGATGACTGATTTCTCCTCCCTTGTGTTCAGTTTAATCAAACATGTTTTTGGGCATAGCTTACGAGTTTCTTTTGTCCACCTAGAGTTGCCGTGTAAGGGAATTTTTAACTGCCTCATTTATCGCCTTATTATCACTGGCATCCATATTGTGTCCTGCCAACACTACGTTTTTTCTTTTTTCGCTCTCTCTATTATTTCCACTCCGTTTTGAATATTCTCATTTTCCTTTTTGACATCCTCATATTCATTCCTTAGTATAACATTTTCATTTCTGAGATGTCTTAATTCTTCTCTATAATCTTTTAATTCAGTTCGGATTTGTATAACTTCAATTTTGATGTCCTTAAGCTGCTCCATTTCCGTTCTCATTTCTCGCAAATCTTTCAGCAATATGTCTGTTTTTTCATCCATATTTCTATTTCCTTTGGGCGGAGTTTTACATATATACTCTTAAAACTAAGCAAGGGCACGCTAAAATCTATAGAGCTATTAACTTTTTAAAACATTTAGGGTAGAATTACGATATGATTGTACAAAAAACAAAGTTATGAGATTCTTAAAATTATTGAATATCTCTAATCTTCACTCCTAATAATTATCTTATAGCCACTAGCAATAGGTTGATAGAGTATCTGAACTGTTTTATTAAGTAAAACGTCAGTAATCTGCAGTCAATCCAAATGCTATGTATCTGAGGATTTGCACAAGTATTTATCTAACGGCTTTGAATGTTTAAAAGGATTACACCTAAAATGGGCAGAGTCGCCCGAGAAAAAACGTTATTTGCCATTGTATTGGAATCGTCGGATTAGCGAGGACGTTCTTATGGTCGCTCGATGCTCAGAACTCGTCGTTTTGCCACGTTACGGCGTTCCCGATGTTTTTCCAATGGTAGCTTTCAGTAATGGCCAGACCGGATGTGATTTTGAAACGTAAACTGGAATTGTAAGTTTAACATGTCCAGTAGGTATTACTCAGTGGTCGCAGATTTAAGTAGCATAGAAAATAGCTTAGGAAAACATCATCAATATTTTCCCGAATTATTCCGTTGTTAAAACTCTGTTTTTCTGGCAATATGAAACCATATTATTCCATCTAAACAATCTGGATTTCGACAAGGTCATAATACAGCTTCGGCACTCTGTGATTTAACAGACAATATAACCATGGCACTTGATAACCAAAAAGCAGTAGCTCTCATACTTCTTGACTTTACTAAATCATTTGACACCATTCGTCACTCACTTCTTGTGTCTAAATGCTCATTTTTATTTTTGGAACTTGTGACTTTTGCAAAATAATGGGAGCAATGGCAATTTCATCTGCGATGAACTGCAGGTCGTTGCCATTATTTTCTATAGTTTCCTCATCACTTGAGGATGACATGCTTATTGATTTGATGAAAAACTGTATCCAGTAAAAATACAGAACGGTCTGTGTAAGCTCTGGAGGACAACTGTCAGTGATGCTGAGTGAACAAACTCCCACGTCAACTACAAGCTGGAACAAGTCAGGACATGTAGCTCAAGATACAAATACCATTGAACCTTTTACTTCTTCTTGCAGGAGTATAAGGCATTGTGAATATGAAAACAAGGATATGCTTATACTTCTACCTTTTTCTCCGAAGCAAGACATCATACTATTGCCTTATGCTTCTGAGGATATTCTTCTCTTTTATAAATATGGCTCATTACACTCGGACTGGTCGCGAAATATAATAATTAACTGAAGGGGACCTGTCACCCATGGGTAGTTTCGTAGTTTCGCCAATCGCGGTAGGTACTCCCAATTCTGACGTTGGCAGCAGGTAACTAGACTCGCACCATCTCTAAACGGCAGCGTTTGTTTCTTCACGGCCAAACAAGAAACACTCACCACATATGCGACCCATTGTCACTTGAGGGCTCGGTGCTACCAGCATAGACGTTCTACTCAAAAATAGTAAAAGCTAAACACATGCTGGATAGTATCTGTTGGCATTTCGTCTCCACGACCATAGCCAACTTACGCAACCTTATTACATGCTTTTCGTCTTCGCATTTTGTTGACCTAATTTTGCTGTAATCAAGACTGTTTTTTTTTGAAACCTCGTATCTTGGGTACCTTCTATCTTTGAGTATTTAAGGCCTGTGTTATTGAGGAAACTTGCATTGTCTTACACGACCTATATGCCGTGTGGAAGAAAGACGAGGCTACTCTAACGCTTAACTTGTAGTGTCAATTGGCGTGCTAGAGCTTTGTACCTAATCGAACATGAATATTCCAATTTGTGCCATCGATACTTAAATAAATGTGATACAACTGCAGTGACAGCTTTCCGTAACAGAATCTTATAATCGCATGTGTAACATCTTTCCTAATTCGATGGGTTGAGCATGGTAGGACATACTTTTTTGGCGACCACCGCTCGATTTTTAGTTGTAATCCTCCCGTAGATTAAACTGGCGTCGCAGTGGCTGTAAGATAAATGTTTGCGTACATTTTACGAGGTGCGGTTTGAGAGCGTGAGCAGAGGTTGCAAATGGCCACCCACCTACCGAATAGTAGCAAACCGCCAATAAAACTGACCCTCTTCCCGCCTTAGTCCAGTATTCAGAGATTTCCACTGCGAAAACTATAGGAAAGAGAAGACGTATGGAGGTAACAATGATCATAAAAACATGTCAAAATTAGCAAATTCAACAAAATTTTGTGCTTTCTCTTCTTTTCTAAATTTTTTTCAAACGCCTCCAGATTTCACTATTTAAAGACTATAAAATGCTATAAATATTATTCACTCAACCTGTCAACGCAAAACGACGAAATTATGTACCATAGCTATGACCATGAGTGGAAACTAAATGACAAACCTACGAGGATGCAATGAAATCTAGAAACTGCGGTTCTCCTCTTCCAGATTTAAGTTTATGTATTAACCAACTATAACATATTTCGTTTTTGATTTCGACATCTGCAACATTTTGTCGATTCAAAAGGGTACGGAACAGGTTGCAAACTGAAATATCCGCGGTGCTAGCTGCGGCACATGCCGTAGCACGCAACTTGGCGCATATTTGTGTCAGCAGGAGTATTACGTAAATCGATATAATTTCAGAAGAAATCGATATAACGTCAACTTGTGTTGTGGCTATTCGATAGTCTAGGCCACGCGCACTCGCTGTGAATGCCACATATGGATGAATGCAACAACGACCCATAGTATAGAATTCACAGGTTAAGCCAAACTACACAGTGCCAGTGTTATGACGTTTAGGCAACACGCACAGCCAGTGCAAGAAAACACGAAGTGATTAACAGTTAGATTGAATTAAACTATTTAACTTTCCGTTTACTAACCACATCAATTGGCGAGAAAGTATCGTAATCACGAATGCTACTCATTCCCGTTGGTATGTCTGTCTGTCTCCTAGCCCATATATAATTCGAAACGTACCGCTCGGATTTTGATCAAGAACGGAAAAGCTACGGACATCAATCTCAAACTTGCCACTTGTTACTGGCTGTTATTTTCAGAACAAAAGAATTGGAGTTTGCTGAAAATGGAAGGTCGGATACTGAAGGGGCGGTTCTCAATTATGCATCCTTCGTATAGTATTAATAGTAATAATAATAAACCGTCTTTTATTTGCAGTATAATATATATATATACAGGGTGACTTCGAAGTTGAGTCATTTATTTTAACAGTGAGTAGATCTGATCAAAAGAAATCTTTTTTTCCTTTACCATTTTTCTGGTAAAATTAAAGTAACAAAGTTGTAGCCCTTTGGAAGTTTGAGTACCGCCCTGTCTCAATAATAATATTATGTGCTCGTGTTTGGCGACAACGGATATAATTCGCCTTATCGGTTCATCGCATCGGAAACAAAAAAGCGAAAGAATTTGGAACGATGTTTTTACAATTATTTCATTCAGTTGTATACAGTCAGTGTCAGTCGGTAGTGGATAGTGGTGTCTGTTGCGTGGCTCAAATGAAATAAAAAACGGCACATGTTTATGCGGATCGGTTTCCCAATCGAGTGCAACCAACCCCTCGTGCCTTTGTTAATGTAGTACAACGGGTTCGTGAATCAGGTGACTTAAGACCTCACATATGGACGGCGTGTCGGTCCTCCAAGACCTCATGATCAAATACAGGTCCGCACTGAAATACTTGTCGGGAGGATACTTTATAAAACAAGGTACATTTTTTTTTAATTTTTTTTTTATTTTTACACACATATTTTGGTTTATCTTCCTTCTACAATCATTATCTGAAAATTAATGACTCAACTTCAAAGTCACCCTGTATATATACAGGGTGTCCGCAAAGTTGGGGTTTTCCTTTTCAGAAACAACTACCCTTGAAATAACAAAGGTAATGTGTAGTGAAACGAGGGCGACCAAGTCAAAAAATAAAGGAAAAAGTACTCACTCTCCAGTTGACGAGAAGGGCTAAGTACGTCTCTGCCCGAAATCAAACCGCTCCAACAGAAAATGAAATCAGCTGATGCGCTACCGAGCAGACGCACCATGCCAGCCCAAACATTCACCGAAAATGTTTGTTGAAAATGTGCCCGACGGACAGCGTGCGGATTTTCTACTGACCAAACATGAGTGTTGCGAAAGTTATTCACCCCATTACGCGTGAACGTAGATTCGTCTGTCACCAATATGCACTTCAAAAAGTCCGGATTATTGTCATGTTGATGCAGCAACCACTCACAAAACCGCACGCTTGCTGGAAAATCGTCAGGTTGAAGGGCTTGTACACGTTGGACGTGAAACGGATACAGCCCCTCTTCACGCAGCGTTTGCCACACTTTAGTTTTTGATACTTGCACTTCTCTAGCCACGTCTATAGTGCTTGTTGAGGGATTCTCGTCTACGCGATTACCTCGCGTGACCGTAACCGTCGGTTGAAGGTTCCATACTGACCTGACAC